TGTATTCCAAGAAACCTTTTCCTGTACAAAATTGCTTCTGAAAGTATCAACATAATTTGGTGCGAAAATACTAACTGCCGGTTGAAAATCGTTATTAGCATCTTCCTTCTTACAGTAATCAATAAAAAAAATATGCTTTTCTTGTTCATCCAATTTTTTCAGCAGCACAAAGGTATTCTGCACAAAAAAGTACGAAAACTTTTCAACAGGGCAGAGAAAACCAGTTCTGTGTGTTTTAGTAGGGAAAGCATTAGGCTTACTCGGCGGTTTGATGTAGGTTTGATTAGAGTTCAAGTTCAATTTAGAATCCTGGTGACTGACTAGAAAATGATTCTGTAATTCATATAGTTTTCCTTCGAAAACACAAGATTCTACAGGACAATTTTTAGATGGTTGCTGTGAGCAGAAATTTTCTTCATGAAATATCGATGATCTAAAATATGGAATCAATTCATTACAATTCCATTTACAGAAAAATTTAAGGTGTGCAAGCAGTTCCGGAGGTATCGTAAATGTATCGATCTTAGTATTGGGTTTTTTGGCTTTGTAGTATTCGACACAGAACGAACAGAAACTTTTGTTACTACTTTGAATGACATTGATTTCTGAACCCTGCAATTTAACAAAACAAATACAACACTGAAAAGTAATGAATTTTTCATAATCATTTTCTTTTATCACCAATGAAGTGCCTGAGATATCTATAGAATAATTTGGATTAGAGTTCAGAAAATCTGGACTCAAAAATATTCTTTGTAAATTTACAAAGTCACCAGTGTCAACCATTTTCATATTATATAAAGGCATTTCCAATGATTCGATTTCCTCCAAGTCCAGCTCAACCAAAATGATAAAATTGTTACTCTGAAATTTAGACCTTTTCACTGAAATTCCTTTAGGCCTAGGAGAACCAAAACAGTCACAGGATATACTTTCAGTTTTCAGTTCTGAATTATTATTTTTAGAATATAGAGAATATTTCTGCATCACTTTATTTGCTTTTTCGGCATCTCCTACATATTGTGAACTAAGAAAAAGGGTAGAATCATCCCAGTTTAACTTGAAATTGATGAATAATAAATGGTCATCTATGTTATACAGATATAATTTACTAACATCACGGAACTCACCCTCTTCCAAATTCACAAATATCCAGGGTTTTTCCAATACATGCCGCTTATGTCCTCTTTAAAGTGAGTCAGAAATAAAAATGTAGGTAATTCCAAATCATTTACAGGACATAGGGGGCACATGAATTTTTTACTCAAACAGTTCTTTTCATGTTCTTCTACCTGATTGTTGAGTAATAACTTCCTGCAACCATCAAACCTGTTTACACACTTGAATGCAAATTGCCGGTCAATGAAACCAAAGGACGCTGTCATACAGTAGCTATCATTTTTGGAACATCTTCCGCATTTTATGATTTTATTTGGATAGAGTCTGATTGGACCCACAGAAAGAAAGCGATGGCAGGAATCACAAATGAACTTATCCCAAATTTTGGCTGGATTCACAAGTTCTAACGTCATGGCAATGGTTCGTCTGGATTATATCTGAAAGAATCGGATCATATGAGTGATAAATAATCATGATTGATCAATTCGAAGAAATAAAATATGGTTGCCTTCATCATATGCTTCCTACAAGTGTCTTGAACTTGAATTCATGTGTTCAATACTATCTCCGTGTTCTGAATTAAGTTTCTTCATTTTTATCATATATTGCGTTTAAAATATTTGGTCGCCAAGTTTGAAAAAACATTTGAATATGCTGCAGCACATTATGCTTTGCTAGTGCAAATTTAGCACTGAAACCATTCAACTGATATTCTTTGCTGGATTGCTATCAGCCACTCAGACGTGTTGAAAGCACTGAACGCCATAAATATAGTTTCTTCAATCGTTCAAAATATTTTAGGTTTTTAATTATGACTGATATTTCTACTAATCGGTCAATTTGAAAAAACATTGATAACAATGGTTGACTGAAGAAACTTAATTGAAGTGGACCTAAAACTGAATCTAGTCCAAGTGGACTAGATTCAGTTTTATTAAGTAGGTTCTAGCCTCACTTGAATAAAAACGTTAAACTTTTGATAAAAATGGAACTAATTGCTGTCTGTATACTGAAGATATATTACTTAGGGTTTATATTATTCATAGTGAGGCCAATTTGGTGATATCAAAAGTGATATCATTGTATTCAGTATGATTTTTGGAGTATTAAAAATCTTGTCGCTGTCTCAACCCGTGGAATGAGTAGCTATGGCTAGAAGTAGGTATTAGATCTCAATAAATACTTGCAAATGCCAGAAACTGGATTTATTAGGCTAGTAAGTTATATTATAATATTTAAAATAGCAAGGGTTTGAGTGGTAGAGCACCTTCGGGTAAACTTGGGATTTCTGAGTGGCATAAGGAGAATACCATGTATCTGTGTCATTTCTTTTCGAGTTTGAAAGCCGTAGATTTTTGGAGTTTCTTTCTGACGTTTCGCTGGCGCGAGTGGCTAGCTTCTTCAGAGGTTTAACCATCATGGCTTGCTGTCCGATGACTACCTTTTCGGCTTCGTAAAGCGTATAAAATTCGAAAAGAAATGACACTGAAAACCTCAGCCGTGAAAGTCTAAACCATTTTGTCATACCATGTATCATTTTATTTTTCATTGGAAATAGACATTTCTTCGCCTTTTATTGGTAACGACAAGTTATCGATAGTGATGCTTATATTGTTCAAGCACTTTTTCCTAGTTGCTGATCTCCCGAAAATCATGACAAACGATTTGTTGATATTCACAGAGAGGCAATATTTTTCCGAAAGTTCAGTTAGACTTTTCAAATCTATATTAATTTTTCGGCAGCCATCATCTACAGAAGATTCCTCGAAATACATGTATATCTGCGTATCATCAGTGTAACTATGTATGTCTGTATAACGAAGGCAATGAGGTAATTGGGATGTATATATTACAAACAAAAGTGGCCCTAAAATGGACCCCTGCGGGACACCATTCCGAGTAGCAAGAAAATTTGATTTGATTTTGTTTAATAGAACACACTGAGAGCGATCACTAAGATACTTTTTCATTAGTTCAACTGAGTTGGGTGAAAATCTGGGATATTTTAACAAAACCAATAAAATCTAATGGCTAATCGTGTCGAAAGCTTTTGAATAATCTAACAACACAAGTAAACACAAATTACTACTGTCAACCGAAGCATGAATATCGTCCATAAATGATAGTGTCGAAACAAACTTGGTTTTTCAGATGAATAACGCCTCAATATAGATTTTTAATTCAATTAATTGATGGATGTAGCCGTTACTACGTGGTAGGAAATCATGATAAAGAAAAGAGAACTGAAACTTTCTATGTTTTTTACCACTTTCATTTGTAACTAACGTTACTGCAGTTTTGTCCTATAAAGACATTTTCAAAGTTATACATTAAACATTATACATTAATGTTTAAGTTTGAAAATTGATGTATAATGTTCAATGTATACGTTTGAAAATGTCCTTATAGGACGAAACTACAGTAACGTTAGTTACAAATAAAAGTGGTAAAAAACATAGAGAGTTTCAACTCTCTTTTCTTCATTTTCAATTCAAATGACTCCCACAGACAAAGTTGCCAATATAATTTTGCAAGAGAACCGCATAGTGTGGGGAATTTATAGAACGATGCAGTTTTAGGTCATCTGCTGAAATAAAGAACTGAGCATTCTTAATGCAAGTTATGAGCCATTGATGAAAATATTGAATGAAAGCGGACCCGAGTGTGATCCTTGTGGGACACCCGCTGACATCAGATGAGATGTACAACCTACTTCTTCGACACATTGAGTTATCCCTTTCAAAAAACTCAAAGAACGAATTCCATGATTTTCTACTGAATACTAGTGACGGCGTCTTGTAAATGAGTAAATCATGGTTGATTCTGTTAAGGTTCCTTGAATTGAAATAATAGCTGGAGATAGACTGACTCACTCACTGGTCTCGTGAGTGAAATAATGCAATTTTTGATTGAATGTTATCTCGACCAAAAGATAATTTCGATGGCAAAGTAGTTCGACTAAATGTATCTGGTACATCAATATTGATTTTATAAATAGTGGCGGGTATATATGATTTATTTATTTATTTATTCAAAATTTGGGATACAAAGAGGTAAATACCCATAGAAGCATCCACTGATAGTAGTGGTTACAGAGATATTCGGGGTCAGCAGATACAGGAAAAATTAATGAATTGATGTGTTGAATATCCTTTTCATATTTATTTTAAAGGAATTCAACGTAATAGAGAAAACCACTACGTTAATACAGTATTTGTTGAATCACACATTCTAGTAATTGGGGAGTTTTTGCCCAAATTTGTGTTGAAATTCGGACTGGCAAGTAATTTTCTATTTCTAGTGTTCCTATGAGAAACGTGATAAAAAATAATTGATACTAGATTAAGTTTGTCATAACACTTTGTTATAATTTCATATAAAAACTAAGTCGATTATTATTCTTTCTAATCATAATTTATGTGTATTAAAATGTGGGCTCCGTATGACACTTTCGAAATAAGTTTACTATAAACAATTGCATAGTAAATAGATATGATTGCTGCCTCGTTGTTGAAGTCTTTGCATATTCTGCAGAAAAATCCCAAGGTTTTGCTGCAGGAATTCATTACATAATCCAAATGGGGATCCACACTGTGATACAATATCATATAACTGACTCAACAAGAGATTTGTAAACAATAATTAAGCTTTTTTTTGTGAGTATATCCCTGAGTTCATACATTTTATAGCTTAGATGTCTGAGTCTTTTTACTATATATTGCAAATGTTCATCCCATCTCAGATGTTGGTCCATTACAACTCCTAAATACTTTGGTTTAGTTACTTTCTCAATATATGAACATTCACAAATGGTTTCAGAACACTTTGGCATATGTAAATACATTTTTTGTTGGACAGGTTGGTGGTTGCTCAGAAGAGTGAAAGTAATGAATTTCGATTTTTCAACATTAAGGTTGAGAAGATTGTTACTTAAGCAAATTTGTATTTTACCCAAACACTCTTCTGCTACTTTATATACCTGTAGCCATGTATCACCTGTACAGATAATTGCAGTATCGTCAGCATATGATATGAGTTGCCTTTGAAATTATTTATGCGACTCAAACTATTAATATATGCTAAAAATAGTATTGGGTCCTTGAGGTAAGCCACTAGAGATTATAGCCAGCTCACTAACATTGTTACCTATTTTGACCCGTTGGGTTCTACAATAAAGATAATCTGTAAAAACATTATTTGCTGGTCCTCGTATTCCATATAAATTTAAGAGTTCTTCATGGGAAGACACTTTTTTGAATTGTCTAAGGCATCCGATGCTTGCCTAAATAAATCTAAAATCTAAAACAGCTAGTTCAGTATTACTTCCATTAATGAATCCATACTGCCTTTCTATTAATACCTCATTTTTTTCAAAAAATTCCAGTAGGCGAATTTTGAGGGCATGCTCCAATATCTTCGCAAAATTATCTATTACAGAAATTGGTCGATAGTTGCTGGGATTGGATTTATCACCAGATTCAAAAACGGGAGTGACTATGGAATATTTCCATTGCAGTGGTATTTTGCCAGTTTTGAATATTAAATTGATTATATAGACAACGGGTTGTCTATATAATCTCTCTGTGTAAAGTTTTTATAAGTTTGGAACTAATTTCATCGTGACCAGGTGCACAATTGTTTTTTAATTTTGATATAATGTTTATAATTTCTTTTTACCGGGGTGAGAAATATTGAATTTACTATTGATTTGTCGTTCAAAAATTGTGGGGTCATTCTATATGATTTATTTATTTTTTTAGCCATTTCTGTGCCAACACTAGCGAAATATTCATTGA